ATAAACATTTGTGCATGCCTCACTGTCCCTTTATTTATAGTTCTCCTCCAACCAGCGAAAGTATGAACAGGATCTATAAAGTTACCTCTAAAACGCACATTCTGTCCATCTCTTCCTGTCCTCTATCCACTACACACACAAACGTCTACAAGCAAACATGTAAAAGCAGACAAATAGGCCGATCCGTTCTTATCCCCTATTCGCAGAGACGGGAACTAGATGCCACCGTTGACGAGGAGTGCTCCAGAGGTTGGGCTCACTGCGAACGAGCATATGGGGCTCAGGGATCCTGAGTTTCCGTCGACTCCCTGCACAGTGTGTACACCAAATAGATCAGCTGACATCGCGGGCAGACTCAGGATGACCACTTGTCTTGAGGCGGCGTCAATCTCGATCAAGGCGTCGGGGGGGGCCTCTGTCCCATTGACCATCCAGATGACTGAAGCAGCAAATATCGGGTGTCAATTGGAACGGTGAAAGAAGAAATGATAGAAATCAATTACAATAGTAATTACACTTTGGGAATGTGAGCAATAATCGTATTTAGGCGTAGAAAAAGACTAACAATTTGCCCATCAAATGTGCAGGATAGAGGCCTTTGAAGCGGGAGGTAGAGATTCACCGAAACAATTTAGGTGGCTATTTGGCCCTACTCTGTAAGCAGTAAACTGTACGATTATTATGCCAAAACACAATTTTGCTTTTTAGGAAGCCGAATTTACGAGATACATCGCAAAGTTTCACCTATATTTTTTTGCCCCGAGCCTAAGATGTGAGTTCATAGTCACATTTCCGACTAATAGGAAAAGGCACTTCTGACAGTAACAAATTGTGATTCTCATTAGCATCGGACCCAAATAGGTCAAAGAAGAAGGCATGCCTGATCACTGGGTCATTTGGTAACGGTATTTTCCGGGTAAAAAGGGATATTAAGTGTATTCACCCTATTTCGTATAAGGTGGCAAAGGGAGATTGGTAGTTGAATTTTCCCACAATGCTATGAGTAGAACTTACGTTTCCATTGAATTTCGCCCAGCCTCGCTTTCCCAAAAAGTGGCTTGCTGCTTCGACCGTGCATAAATGTCATCAACACCCCCAGCGGGACTCTGTAGCGTATAATCTCGACACGTTAACCACTACGTCACATTATCACGAGTCATAGGGTAGATGTGAATTTCAAGGAGAGCCAGGCGTTTTTCCATATCACATTCTGTGCTGGAATTGTCGATGAAGCAAACCTATATTTGCTATAGTCCTCGTATCACATTAAACGAAATAATGTGAATACACTTCATAAATAAATGATCTACTGGCAGTGTTGAAAACTCACTTTTAAAGGAAAAACAAAGATATTCCACTAAAAGAAGACACGAGGAGAGAGATACGTCATGTCAGGCTTTACTTTGATGCTCGAGTTTACTTGTGGGCATCTAGAGGAAGCAATGGTAGCAAAATGAGCTAGGATGAGAGTAATCGTAAAATCTTTCCAGATCCTTACGGTTTAAGGTCAAATTAGACTCAATGCATTATTATAGAGACATTTATTGTAAACATGGAAGAAGTATAATAAAGATTTATTTAGCTGTGAAGTAAGCTATATCAGAATGAACAACTTTATATGGCCGACACGAAGCTGATTTAAGAGCAAATTCGGGCTTACCTGTTGAAACAGGGCTAGAGAAGGAGCATTCGATGTGAATGGGTCCAGACTCTACGGCGTTTACTGAAGGGGGATATTTGACAAAATCTGGATTTATCTCTTCGGTAGTAGGTGCTAAGAAATAAAATAATAATAAGGGAAATAGTAAATATTTTCATTTTATTTATTAAAGTGTGAAGATCAATTTTACAGAATTTGTCAATAACGCAAGTCACGGGACTTAAAGACAATGAAGCATATAAAATACAATAACTTACAAAATTGCAAGGGTGGATCACTACTTGCATTGTCTCCAAAAAAATAATTTATGCATCATGGGCCTTGAATTAAGCTTTTTTGTCAAGGAACTTATGAAACTTATACAGTCCACTGGTAGGCCAAATAAGCCTTCACCTTTACAAATGATAGCCTTTTGGTGTCAGAATACGGTAACGAGATAAAGTTAAAACTATTTTCCTGTAAATTTAGTTTTAAACTCATTTGATTGTACAGGAATCCTCATACTAGTTTCGTACGCGTACATCTAAATGAAATGAAAAAGTGAATATTTGATAACTCTGCAAACAAGCTAAATAGGTACCGTAAGGTGTCCATTCGATATTCATGTACTATTCTTAATTCCTTAATTCTGGAGATCAAATAAGTATTAAGGGCAGACAAAGGAGGAGCAGTAGTAGGTATGGATAAGACTGATTATGTAGAGCAAATGTTAGAGGCATTCGATGATGATACAACATGTAAGACTATAATAACGGACTCGATAGAAGGGCTTACGGTCAGAATTATGGGTTTTATGCAGCAATGGGTAAGCAGTGGAGAACTGGAAAAGTGGAAAATGAATGCACTTTTCCAGCGAGATGCTAGACCCCCAAATGCGTATGGTCTGCACAAAATCCATATGCAAGGAACTCCCCTTAGTTTTATTGTTAACAATAAAGGTTACATGGTGCATACAGCATCACGATTTATACGTACTGAGTTAAAGCAAATCTTCGAAACGTGGAAGTCTTCAGTAAAGAATTCCTACGACTTTATTAAGTTACTTGATGATCAGACGATAGAAAGAGGGGATTTGCTGGTCATTTTCGATGTAGTGTCTATGTACAATAATATTATGATAAACGAGGGAATGAAGGCATTAGAATTAACTCTAGATCGACACCATGAAATCGTAACAGGTAAAAAGTTAAGCAAAGGTTCATTAATTAGATTAGTAAATTAAGCAATGTATAATACATATTTGACCTTCAATGGTAAATTGTATGAGCAGACACGGGGTTTGCTTATGGGATCTTGTTAAGCCCATATTTTGGCTAATAACTACATAAACCAATTATAAGTTCGTGTGTTTCAAGAGACACTCCTAGTTCCAAAGTTATTAGTTCGCTATATGGATGATTACTTTGCTGTTTGGCAACACGGCAAAGATAGTTTGGGGTAATTCCTTGAGCAAATAAATAGAATAGATGCAAACACTAAGTTTACCATGGAGTTAGAAAAGGAAAATAAATTGGATGCATTAGTGGGCAAAGAAGGTAATAAGTTAGGTCGATATGTAAATATGAAACCTACCAACGCGGGTTTTTCCATTAATTTATTTTTGAAGCATACATCTAGAGTAAAAATAGGAGTTATGAAGTCTATGATAATAAGGAGTCTGCATCTAGCAATGCAAATCATAGGGACCGTGAGATTGGTAAAATGAGAAATACACTATTTCAAAACAATTCCCCGTTAGGATTAGTAGACAATTACATAGCATTTGTAGTTAACAAGATTAGAGGAGTTTGTTATCAGGTGCGGGGGTAGAAAACTTGACAATTATACTCGGTTCCTGATTTTGCCTTCCCGTCAAATTATGAAAAAGTTGGGTGAAATGCTGAGGAAATGGAACATAAAGATAATGTATAAAAGAAATTAACGTCTTCTTCTAAAGTTCTTTCGTTTATAGAATATTCAGACCCTCTCTTTAGATCAGGCTGTTACAAGGTTTTGTGCTCATGTGGTCAGGTATGTGGGGTGAAAACCTGGCGACCTACTCATAAGAGACTATGCGAACACAAAGCCGCCTGTAAAGGCCTGTAGATCCAAAAATCTGAGCTCGCTGAACACATGGCCAACACAGGACACCCAATAGATTGGTACATAACACAACGTCTTGCGGGTAAGGGGACTTCACGGCAAAGCGTAAGATCAGAGAATTAATAAAAATTAATCAAACAACCAACGTCCTGAATAGGAGGAACGAATGTAGAAAACTAGGCAGCAACATTTTGTGACTGTTGGATAGACTTAATTAAAGGGAGCGAGAGGGTGTGCAAAAAGAGGCACTGAACAAGAGAAGGAGGCTGGATCAGCCTCATGTCTAGTTGGAACTATCACACTACCCATGACATGAGCATTAAATACACACAATAGACAATAGCACGAGCCCACACATGATTCAGCGTTAGGCGATCGTACGCTAGTTTTTGTGTGATGAAATAGCTGCCGACGAACGCATTTCCGGTTTGGAAAGTTAACTTCCCTCATTTGCAAGCATGTAGCGCAAGGTTGAAATAGCCAACCGAATCAGGGGAGGCCTCATTAAAATCGTGATGTTAGGTGTAAAAAATGATTAAGGTTGTAGCCAGCCACCTTCTCCTGGTTTAGTATATTTCTGCTCTATTTTGTAAAGTATGGAATCTTGCTCTGATGATGTCTGTCATGGTGGTACAATTGAAAGATTAGCAAAGTTTCATCAGGGTCGAGGTACGGTGAGCCGAGGACTTCTTCGTACAATTCAACAGTCTTCCTTACGCGACAATCCTCCTTTGTCTTCGGGTGAGACCACATCACGAATTCCTTCTAACCAACTTTCCCTTTAAAATGGTGAGCCATGCCGTAAAATTGTGAATTGCTTAAATTTGATTTCTATAAGAGCCTTACCTCTGACAAAAATCTGGGCCACACTGAATGCAGTTCCAAATTCATTCGAGAAACGACACTCAAATATTCCAGAGTCCTCGAGCTGAAGAGCCTCAGTCTCGAGGGTTGTGGTCAAGACATCATCTAGAGTGGCCTTGCATATGAACCGTTCGTCAGGATTCATGGAAATCGGCTTTCCGTTAAAGCTCCACTCAATCTGCAAATTGGCTTCTGCCTCCAGTTCGCATTTAAGGTACAGCGGTGCACCAGGAGAGGCAGCAAGACTGTGCAAATGCCTGAGAATTGATGGCGCCCGCTGGACATCATTGGAATTCAGACTTTCATGGTCATTCGAAGTAACCGTAATCATGGGCTCCGGAAGACCGTTGGTCATACTTGAAGTATCAGGCAGAGCTGGACAGAAACAATTATTTTGGAAATAATCAGCATGTATGCATACAATTATCGAAATTGTGTAAGGTCATGTTTATTGAAAATTTCAATTAAAGCTCGAACCAAATCACCCTTCCCTACTATTAAACCCACATTACAGGCACTTAGTATCAGAATGTATCTGTGCACATCATCAGCGCTTCATGTGTGCTCTTTTATCGTTTGTGGGCAGAAAAGGAGGCAACATTTTTACGGTTTACTATATCAGCCTGGCCGATGCAGACTCTATCCGCAGTCTACCCTCTTGTCTAATGGATAAATCCGAGCTGAGTTGAGAATAAGAACCAAATACAAGCTGCTTATCGAGCCAAATTACACTCACTGAACTAGTTCTTCTATTACACTAAGTTATCAGAAGTAGCTAATCATAATTGTGCTTATTTTTCGTTTACAAGAGGGTTTATATCCATGGGTTATATATCAGACGATTTGAAGTGTAGATTTCTGATTGGAAAGTTTTGACAAACTGTGCAATTTGAATATAACAAAATTATACTTTTATATTTGTTTGAAAAATAGGTGGAGTTCTCTCTTGTCTAGGGTTATCACGTATTTTATTTTCTAATTTCATGGCGTCTTTAGTGGAAAGCAGATAAAAACTGCCGCCGCTTCTTCGCTTCCCGTTTGAATGTTCATGCGCCGAGTCGTGATCACTCCAGCTAAAGACGCCAAAAATTCAGATTGGCGCTTCGTTTAAGCACCGAGATTTACTCGAGGAGTTCACTACTTTGGATATTGGAAGAGAAAAGTAAAAATTTGTTTCACACTCAACTAAAATATAAATGCAGTGGAAATCATGTATGCATCTGGCTAAATTGTCTGACAAGATTGCTAAAAATAAAAGTCTATTTATTATTTTCATCCATGTAAAAAACATGCTATATGGCTATTAAGAAGGGGCAAGAGGGGTAGACGAATGCTCAAGCAGATAAGTTCCGGAAAATTTTACAGCAGTCACCAATCGCCTTTGGGCGAGATTGCAAGCTCACTTTTTGGTGGTAGCTTTATGACGCCATGAGCAAGCAATGACGCCACAATCATTATTTCACTTTCAACCATAAATATTCCGCTGGCTCCTATCTAGCTTTGTGAACTATTAACGGGCCAAATGATGTCTGATCCGTTACTCCAAAGGTCGAACTCACTATTTGCCTGATACTTCAGGCCTTAGTTGCCTCGGTGTCAATAGAACTTCATCAGCGGTCGCGGTACTTCAAAATATTTTGCCAAGCCGAACCCTCTTTTCGAGCAGGCTAGAGCTCAGCTTTGGTGGTCAAACTATGCGTGGGCTTTGAATCAAAGCACGAATTGTTCAGGCTAGGTCCTACTAAGTGGTAATACAGCAAAGTTCAGCTAAACACACAAATGGGGCTCCTGCAAAATGGTAGTTGAACCATTCAAATGTAAGGCTTAATCATAATAATTGCTTAATCGAAGATATGAAGACCAAGATGCTGTGGCCATCAATATGGTCGCAGTCTACCTTCAAAGTATAGAAGTGGTCTGAGCCCGTTTTCATTACCTGGTCGTGTTGTCACGCATCTTGTTCGAAGCCCTCTGTTAGAGTAGTTATCATAACTCCCATTGTCGGACTGTGAGCTTGGTACATTCCCAGACTTTTCGCCAGCATCGTTGTCGATATCATCAGTGAGTCTTGTCATTGTCGAGTTGTAGTTTGGTGCCGGCAAAGCGTCTGAGAATGTACCCAGTCCACGGTTTGATGCTGGGAATTATGATGCTTACTATAGCAGATGACTTCGGACAAGGTGCGTTCAAATAAGTCACCCTGACAACAGGACCAAGTTGCGAAAACGAGGTCAATCCATTTTCACAATAGTTGTGCTTGCTCTAATTCAAGAAGCTGCGAGTGAGTCATTTGGAGTAATCGACTTTTGCAGGAACCCTGAATGATGTATTAGTCGGAGTACCGACGGTCTTGTTTAAATTCCCAAATCAGTTGAACCAGTCGGCTCAAAGTGTCGAAACGTTTCATTCTAATAGCATACTGCATTAAGCCTTTCGAAAACTAAGGTGTTGAGAAACGTCTACAATATATAATGAAAAAATTGGCTTTCGGAGATGCCTTTTATGCCTTTATGCTGTTGGACGTTTCCCTTTATACAGACATTTGCCGAAAAATATTCAAACTTATTGTTTACAGGAAGTATTTGAAGAAGAAGCCTCCTCTTTCCACATTTCGACTAAGCCAAGCAGCAAATCGCTATATCGTTCATTGTTAATATAAAATAAAAAGACTGCTAACTCGGTTAAAGGTGTTTTAAGAACAAAAACCTCGTTTTTTGACTGAGATACTGTCCCATTGTTTATCGGCAAACAACATACATTTCTAACTTAAACATATGATAATTAAATACTAGGCACATACAAACAATAGAGCACTTGGTCGAGAAGCTATAGGCCTAAGCAACATTGTGATCAAGGCTTGCTATTTATGCACCTAGTTATTTACTAGCTTACTTTGCTACAGGGGTGCAGTCTAGCTTAGTAACAAAGAATGTCATCGAGTAGCACAAAGAAGGACTATTGGCGAGGCAGCTATACTTTGCTTTAATAGGTCAGCTCAGGTATGAGACGAAGAGAATGATCAATAGGTAAGTATGAATTCGACATAGCAAACAAAGTATTTGTGAAGCAAATATGGACACCTAATTTTGGCTTTTCTTGCCGGTTTTACTCTCTTCTTTGCTGTTCCTTCCGTCATGCTTCCGTCGATCCGACTCTAAGTGACCTCAAAACACAGCAATTAATCGAGCTCGCTTTGCTTTGAGAGTAGTGTTGACCCCGATTCAGCCTGTGCTCTCATCTATTCATGCCCTTGATATTTTATGGAACCACTTTTCATGATTTTCTTCATGTATGCATTCGCACGCCCTCTGCTTCACATCCGATGACCCTGGCTTGCATAGAATGATCAGGGTTAGATGCAAATGTATTTAGTTTTTCTTAAGTGCTGACTCATTAGTGCTGGACATATGATATGAAGGCAAGGAAATCAGGGCATTAGGAGGAGGCCCACTTTACTTAGAGTCATTCAAGCGATTGAACTCTGAAGCCTTAATAAATATGAATGCTAAATGGCTTTCTCCTTAGCTCTATGTACAGCCGAACGCATTCGTGTTTAATCTAGAAATGTAAATGTGGACTTTATTATGAAATAAAATAATTAGAAGTTCAGGCCGTGGCTAGCTTTATATCTCTTATATCTTATTTTACATAATAAAAGAGCGACCAACTACCTGAAGGTAGGACTCCAGTTTTTGCTTGGATCTTTGTTTTCCTGAAAAGTACTATTGCAAAAAGGTCGATCGCCATCTTGACTTCGTCATACCGAGTCTCATGCCAGTTTCTATGACTCGATAGGATAATATAGTATAGTGTCTTTTAAACACTGCGATATACCCAGCCAACTTTCTAGAAGCGCTATAAATCGGAAGTAGATCACACTTATATTCTTGCTCAGTGAGCCTAAACATAAGCCCAGTGCTCTCCATGCCTTACGGTAGGCATTTTAAAAGATCAAGAGTCTAAGAAGGAATTAATTTAGCATCAAAATGATAACACGACTTATTATTAGCTTAACTAATATATACTACTATGTATAATAGATAATATAATATAATAATATATTAATAATTATATTATTATAATATTGCATAATTTCGTAGGTTCTAAAAATGCACAAGTAAGCATTTTGTGTAAAATGATTATTCTTAGCATATTATATCATAAATGCCTCGAAATATCTAACTTGGATGTCGTTTTTATCCTCGAAGTTTACTGGAATAATCTATTCTAAGCGGCTAGCCCTTTAAGTTTTCCATAGAACGTATGTTACATTAAGTATTAACCCTATCTCGTGATGAAGGTAATGAAGGACTGGTAGTTGAATTTTTCCACATTGGTATGAGTAGAGCTGATGATTCCATTGCTTTCTCAAAAGTTGTTCTCATCCAGAGTGGACTGCAGTTTTGACCACGCCTATGTCTTAACAGACCCCAAGCGGTAGTCGAACCATGACAGTGCAGCTTGTAAGCTCGACAGGTTAGTCACTGTGCCGCATTACCACGAGTGCCCTTGGGTCACAGGACAGATGTGAATTTCATGGAAGACTGCTGGAGGTGTTGATAAGACCTAGACGAGGTCAAAACTGCCGTCCATTCTGGATGAGAACAACTTTTGGGAAAACGTCAGCTCTACTCATAACATGGTGAAAATTTCATCTACCAGTTCGTCATCATTTTAAGCGAAATAGACTGGTAGTTTATAAACAAAAAATATCAAAGTGAAGGTTTGCCTCGCCAGTTAGGCAATGTTCCAGAACTTTCATAATGGAAAAGTCGGCTACTATGTCTTCAGAATGCATTCTTCTGAAATCATTCTTTTTCACCAAATTTCTTAATTAGCATAGACATCATGGATATGTATATACGGCGATGGGATTGATAAAGACCTTCCGCAGCACTTGAAAACTATAGCCTTCTCACTGTTTAACTGGGAGTCAATTTTCCTTCAGCACTCGATAGTGTGCCTCCCTTCCCAACCTTATTCTTGACAAAAATAACATCCTTATCCTTTTCTAAATTATTTTTCGTATGCAAGTCTTATCACTATTTGGGTCGTTGACACGTTATCTTATCGGCGCAAACTCACAGAGGCCCGGCTTGGTTTCACAAAAAGATCTCACCTTCAATGAATACATCCACTTGTGTTGTGGCTGTGTCCACCGCGTTGACAGCATGACATTCATAGAGACCACTGTCTTCATGGCTTGACTCACGAACCTCAAGTTTGCTTCGGGTCCCATCTGCCGATGAGGTGATGCTCAATATACTATCTGGTTTGATCTCCTATAGCCGAGATGGATAGTCGGGCGCGAAATATAGACAATGTCAAGAATAAGAATTTTACGCATTCAATTGA